ATAATAATAATCTGCTCTTTGCACTATAATAGTAAAAATAAATAAAACTTATTTACAATATATACCACAATTAAATAATTTACAACAGCATTTCATATTACATATTATTTTATTTATAATACACATTTCAATAACAACAAAATGTTCTTTTTCAGATAATAATATTTAAGTATGTAGCATCATTTTGTTTTCTGTAATAGTCACATTAATAATTATGGAAAAAACAAAGCATATACAACTTCCAAATGCTTAAATATTTGTTATACAGAGTGTTAATATAGCCCTGGCACACCAAAGTGTATTTAAGAAAATAATTTAAATCAAAATAAGCTCTTCTATTCGCAAAAATAAAATCTCTGTTATATCCACATTCGTTGTTATAAATACCTTTTAGTTAAGTATTGACGAATTCGAATTTATATATTAATATATAGTATAAATAATTTTTCACAACAAGGAATGCATTTTATTTAAAATAAGTAATTGTTAATATTATTTAATGAATACCATTCAATTCATTTTTAATTAGATAAAAATATATTTAATATAAATAATCTAAAGGACTAGATAAAAACAAAAACAGTAACAAAAAAAAAGTCAAATACATGTATGCGATAAGTGTATCAATCTTATAGCAACATTGAGTTCGACTTCTCTCCGCCTATTTGTTAGTTGTTAATAACAGAAATAACATTAATAGTATTACCCACACAAATATTACAATTATATTTCTGTACTAGTATAATTTCTTCTATTTACAATCTGTACATGAAGATATAGAAAAGTATGTAATGTGTCATAAAGTAAGAAAATCACTAAATGATTGATAAATATTAGTTATTAAATACAATATACCAATCGCTAAACTCAATAAATTAACAATTAAATAACAACGTGCAGGATAGACCAATTTAGAAATCTTCTTATTTAGGATAAAATCGACCACGAGTTCACCTAGCAATTGTTCGAGACCTATTCAGTGACATTATCACTATACAGAAATGTTCTATTATTCTAGAAATAGAGACTAAAATTTAGATATCTTCCTCTGGAGGTGAAGTTTTATTTAATATTATTTAATTGGAGAAAATAAAGTCTAAAGTTAAATTTTTCCTGCTTTTAATTAAACTGTACTTTCCTATCTTCAAAGGAGGGTCTACGTACTTTGATAACGTCACTAAAAAAGTTCTGAGAAACTATATCATGAAATTAGACTTTTTTCCAAGGTCTACATTTAACCTGGATTCCATAAAAGGACACCGAAATTGGTCTACCCTGAACAATTTACTCATATACAGCATGTACTTCTTTGAAACTTTACTATGACCAAATTTTAATATTTAATATGCAGGGTGAGTAATATACCTTAAGACGAATTTTATATTTTCTAATTAACAAAATTGCTTAAAATGCTGTACCGAGGGTCGAAGGGCAGAGAATGACAGAGGAAGCGGAAATAACTCTACACGCCACTAAAAAAAGTTTGTAAGGGGCGGTGGGCGGAAGGGTGATGGCACAGGTATTCGATTTATCACCTACACCCCCTATACCTCCAGCCCTTCCCTTCACCTAACAACGCATTTTTGTGAAATGCACAGTTATCCCCACTCTCTTCATCCATTTTTCATCCCCTTCGACAGTAGGTTTCATATTGAAAACTACTTTTTTTGTCGTAAGAGAGATCGGTGTTCCCCCCTTTCTATGTGCATTAATTTGTATTAAAAAAGTATAGTATTGTGAGTTCAAATTGTATAGGTATCAATTCTTCGTTTTCATTATATGTAATGTATTATACATTATTTCCTTCCACTCGTTTGTCTTTTTTGATAAAAAATATGTACTATCATTTAACTTTATTTATGTTAGGCACATTTTCCACTTTACTACGTTATCTATTGTAGCAAGTCCTTAATGAATTTATAAACTAAAAAAGAAGTACTCGGCGAGTACTTTTTTTGTTAGTTTCTTTGGTATCCTTTTATTAATGTGGATATAAAAATTAATAAAATCACACAAGTCAATTTAAAAAAAAATGGAACCAAAAATAAAGTTTACGCAATTATAGATGTAAATTGATCCAAAAATTTTGTTTAACGACAAATTTTTTCTTGTTACATTTAAAAAAGAACTTAATTTTTGTATTGTACGTTTGTAATTTGCTCATTTGTACCAATGAAAAAAATCATTTACAATTTTCTGATTAAAGAAAAAATTGATAAGATTTTCAACTACCTCAAAGCATAAGTTATCACGAAAAGTAACATTTTAGATATAAATGCCTCTAATTAATTATAATATAGAAATTGCAGAACTGAAAACGAAAAAAAAAAATGCAATGCATCATTCAGATAAAAAGCCCAAGGGAAAGAACACGAAGAAGTAGAAGAACAACATTTAAGTACATTATATACAAAGGAATTTTTGTATGTACGTGTTTTGTGAATATATATGATGAGAGAGATAGTAATTGGCTTTTTAAAATGGACATCTTGTTTTAGCTTGGTTTACATATAATAGATAAGATTCATAAGTTTTTAGTTGTAATTATTATTAATAATAATTTAACACCCAGGCACACACTGTACTTTTTAAGGCTAATACTAGAAATGGGTAAATATTTTGTTGAGCTCTCTAATGTTAAAATTACATCCAAAAATAAAGAAGTCGACGACCATCAGCCTTTCCAAAAGGCCTATATGAAATATTTTCTATTTTTAAAAATTTACTTACCAAAAAAAAACAACAAAACAAATATATTAAATTAAAAAGTTCAGTACGTAAGTCGTCAAAATATATTTTTGGATGTCATTTATGGCTGTAATACATTTCGAGAGCAAATTTATGCGTAAAATTTTCAGCAACATCATTTCGCAACCTATAATGCCTTTTTTATTGTCTATCTCCATTCCAAAGGGAAAACTCTTAAGAATATATTTTTTACATATAATACGATACAAGAAATAGGATTAAATGTCTTTGGAATAAATAAATTATGTGCTACTCCTACAGCCTCCACTCAAAATAATATATATTTGAATTTATTTATTTGAAACATTGAAAGAAATGTCTTAGTCTCTTTTGAATTTTTTGAAATGCCAATTGCGATTTATGTACTAAATCCAAAAAAACACCATCAAAAATGTTCTTAAAATTGTTAAAAGGTTTCCATTAGAAATTGAATATTTAATAAATGGAATTAATTAAAACATAAAAACACATTGTTTTGTGATTGATTGTCAGTATGGCAAAGATTTTAAATACAAAAGAAATGGACGCTGTACACAATTCTAAACTAATCTTCTTTCTGTTGTTATCAACTTCACTAATTAATAT